TTAGGAATGAGGATATCCGCAGTAGAACCAGAGTGACCGACATAGCCCAACGGATTAGTAAGCTGAAGTGGCAGTGGGCCGGCCATATAGCTCGAAGAACCGACAACCGATGGGGAAGAAAGGTTCTCGAGTGGCAGCCTCGTACCGGTAGGCGAAGTGTAGGGCGTCCCCCCACGAGATGGAGTGACGACCTGGTAAGACATGCAGGAAGTCGATGGATGCAGGTGGCTCAGGACCGTGTTTTGTGGCATTCTTTGGGGGAGGCCTATGTTCAGCAGTGGACTTGTGAAGGGCTGTAATGATGATGATGATGATGAGGGTCGGACAGGGACGCCCTAGACGAAGGTTTATCGACCAAATCGGCGATACATAGAAAACGGGCCAGATTATAAGACAATATATATATATATATATATATATATATATATATATATATATATATACAGAATGGGTCCCACATATATGCAATAAATGAAACCACATACTTGTTATCACCTTTGCTGACGGTATACAAAAAATGAACGTAATCAGCCCAGTAATTAGGTCAAAAAGTAGAGTTTTAATTTTAAGCAAATTTGAACCCTCTATAGAATTGGGTCACTAAGTCAATGATTCAATGAACTTGAATCCTTGAACATTAAAAAGCGACGTTGCCACGCAGTGCAAACTATTGGTATTGCGACGTATCGACAGCGGTGTCTTTTGTCGGCGTGCATAAACAAGCGGCACGAGGAACGCGGCGTACTTCAAAGGCGACGGCGCAACTGCGTGCGCGCCTAGAGTAGGACACCTGTTATCGACGATTAGCTTATTTCAAAGGGAGTAAGTAATAATCGATAAACAAAAAAAAATGTTTAGCTTTAAACACTTAGGGTATGGTTTTTTAGAATTATCGTCTTGTTATGATAATCCTAAAAACACTACGACCTAAGTATTTAAAGCTAAACTTTAAAGTTTTTTTTTGTTTAAGTGTGTTCTTGTAGATTTAGAGATAATAAATTATTTTAACATGATAAAAAACCCATAAAACAACCAATTAAAAAGTCATACATACTTACCCGTTTCCCAGGAAGTCACAAATCGGTAGTTTCGTAAGTTCAATTGTCCAAAAATAAACTTTTTTTTAATAATCAATAACTTGTCGATTGTTATCAAATTAAAAATCAAAATTACTTGTATTCAAAAGTAGTAGGTAAGTAAGCGTAAAAAGAAAAGTATCGATAAACGATTATTGCACCTTGTGGCCGCCCTATTTATTACTTTTATGATTTTCGCTATTTTGGAATTTGGAAGTTTAGCTTTCCAGTTCACGCGCAATTGTTCCAGGATACAGTTGCGTTTCGCTGTCTACGCGCATCGTAATTATTTATCGTAAGATAATTATCGTATTATCGTAAGATAAATACAATTAGCCAAACAATTCTTTTACGGTGAAATAGACACTTATTAGTTAATTGACTTTGTGTGTGTAAATAGTGTTTTAAGTACGTTTATTTTTTCACTGTGATATTGACACTACTTTACTTTTTTTGACCTCACTCCTCTAGACTTCTTTTTATGGGGCTTTATTAAAAATGAAGTGTACTCAAAGATTTTCGAAACCGAAGATGAACTGCGCAATCGTATTGTTGCCGCCTTTAACAAATTAAAAGCCCTGACTCTGGATCTTGAACGAAATTTTTTGAGCAAGCTTCAGGACAACATTATGCGGCGATGTAACTTGTGCATTCAAGAATGATTTTGAAATTTTTAAAATTTAGGGTTTCATTAAATTTTGCTACTAATATGCAATAATATTTATTTCGTTCAGTTCCATTTTCGCGAAATAAAAAAGTGGCGGTAAAATACCTAAACAGTTTAGTGAGTAAGTTTTTATTTCGTCGCTCATTGTCCAACGAACCATAGGCCGTGCCGACAAACAATAACGCTGCCTGCCGCCAACCGCCATGTCACCCGCGTGCAACGTTGTCACTCTTCCAAGGGGTCAAGGTACGTTGTCTAAACAGAGTGTTTACTTTTACTGAATTTATTTTAATATTTATTTTGTTTGAAAATTTCACTTTTTTATTTTACGGGTTTTAATTTAATATTTAATTTTTCTACACTTCTATGGACTAGTATTACTTGTGGTTTAATTTATTGCATATATGTGAGACCCCATTCTGTATATATATATATATATTTCTGTAATCCACTTTTAATTTCCTTTATTTTGATACTATACTTTATAGGTTTTGGATGCGGATTTCACGCCAAAATCCACCATTTTGTTTCTTTATTTAAACAGATGTCTAAGAACACTTGGGTTATTAAAATAAAAAAAACATTTATTTATTTATTTACACACACACACACACACACACACTTAAGAACTATCCTTACAGGCTAAACAAACCCAATACGATAGTGTCACTAATTTAGTTAAATATAGTATGTATTACAACTAACTTACATAACTAACTATGTATAAAAGTACCTTAGCGAGTTCACTCAGATTACTCGAAAATATGTCAATCCTCTCATGAACTTTATTCACTACTAGGATTGATCGGACTATAGGTGAGTTATTAAGCAAATTGGTCCTGGCCACGGGCACCGCGAGCAGCGGCGGGCGGCGTCGCCTCCACACGTACCGGTCCGGTGCGCACAGCTGTAGGTGGCGCAACACCCCCGGGTTGCATGTGGCGCCACGAAGCAACTTCACTACTTGTGCAGCCAGGGCAAACTCTATAAATAAATATAACGATACCTTTACTGTCGAAATCCATCCAGCGGTGTGGAAGATTTGAGGTAGCAAGGAAATTTACAAACAAAAATACAAGATACGCGCGAAAAACATAACTCTTCCTTTGCAGTCAAGTAAAAACATAATAATGAAAAACCAGCAAATAATTTACTAAAATTAATAAGTAATATTAATTTTATCACGCCGTATATGCATACAATTTACATCGATTTAGATTTTTATTTAACTCTTCAATTTAATAACTACCATTTTTAGAGACGGTAAAGAAATATAAGACATAACATTTAAGTAAGACAGTTGTAAATAAAATAAATAATGAAAAGATACTACACGTATTGTATTTTTTACACTTTGTTGAAAGCTCTAGGTAACCACGGAATATCATATGGGACATAGGAAGAGGAAATTATGTAAACGAACATTCGCGCACAGCGTTTTAATTCACACTGTTTTAAAAATCACATGTCCACCTATGGACTAAGCAACTCAAGTATTTTCTGATTCTCTTCCTTAACAAAAAAACACCTATGCAAATCATAACTAATAACGGACCCCTAATGCGCAAACGTAACATTTATCTGGAAAACTCCTACTAACTTAGCCCTGAAGAAACGAAAACAGCTAAGATAAAAAGCATCATTCAGCAGTCTGTGCAGCTAAGCAATCCTTTAATTCATCGAATATATAGTTCTTAGCAGTGGATTACAGCCATAGCAGCAATCAAAATAGATCTTACTGGTCGCGGTGATACTGGTTATAATAGACCACACAAAAAATATGAACTATTCATGAAATATTTAACAACTGATTCGATGGTAGTATAAATCTTATGATTTTTAATCCACTTAGAGACCTAAAAATATTATTGCCATTAACTATCAACGGGGTTAAGTTGTCGTCAATATCTCCCAAGAACTTCACAGTGTGACTCACCCATGCTCACCTACGTATTATGAAGAGTTTTGTGAATTAAATACAAATCATATGAGGCTGTATGGTAAAAGGCATTTGCCAGCCTTAACTCCAAAGCGTAATTCGTAACTAGAGATGAAACGATACCACTGGGGTATCGAAACTATTACTTGATACAGTATCGGTTATGGAGTATCGACATATACATACATACATCGATCAATATTTCTTTGTAAAATTTGGAATAAACCAAATTAAAACAGTAAATAGCATTGATATTCTTTATTGATACGTTATCAGGTGCAATATAATTAGAGTGGACTTTTAAATGCTTATGCAAATTAGACGTAATGCCACAAAAGCGCACGGTTTTGAAGTATTTTTGCAACTTGCGTTTTTCTCATCGTTTTTTGTGAAATATTGCCAAACACTAGACTTTGGCGGTTCCATTTTCAATCAGTTAAACAATTTAAACGCTTTAAACACAAAACAACAACGACGACAATCAGAGGTTAGGATTATAAACGCATAATGAAAATAAATATGACACAGACATTATGCATGTATGGCGACTGAATGGCAGATAGTTTTTTGGTTGTGGCTCGAAGGTTTGGTGCTTGCTCTGTACCAGTTAAAATTACACTGTTTAAGGCCTTCTGCCGATCATTTTACACCAGCAGGCTTTGGATCATACCCAAAGGCCAGGAAATGCCCTGCATGTTGAATGTAACAATGCTTTAGGTTGCTGTTCGGGCTTTAACATTATTGTAGTGTATTAGGCATGTTCGCCGATGCGCTTACTGACGATTACTTTGCGATCATGCGTAAAAAAGTGGGATCATTGATGTACAGAGTGAGGAAAAGCTCGAATAGTCATACATAATAGTAGACACTGGGTAGGTTTGTCCAGCTACATTTACTAAATGGAGCTTAATAAAACCCCCAATTTTTCGTTTAGTTCTGTCTTGTTTTACTTACTAACATTTTTTCTTAAGTTTTATTTCTATTACTAACACGTTATGGGCCTACGATGCCTGAAAAATAAAACATTTTTAGTTTTATTTTATTATTTATTTATAAAGTATCGATACAAAAAGTAATACGGAAGTGTAAGTACGTGTATTTACTCGTATCGTTTCATCCCTATCCCTATTCGTAACAAATAAAATAACTTGCTACTTATTTATTTATCTATGAAATAAAAAAAAAATATTTTGTACAAATTACAATTTCATAAATAACATACTAAAAGCAATTAACGAAGTTATAAGGGAGGAACATTTACTTATAAATACTATTTTTATTTAAGTTAAAGACAGACCAGCCTCAGACAATAATCATAATGGTCGAAGAGTCAAGCATAAATTCTAAGCCAAAGGTGAGGTTTGTAAACAAGTTTCAGAGATTGTAGGTCTGAATACATTAATTTTGGTTCGATATTGCATTATTATATCGGGCTTTAATTTGTTGGAATTGCATAAGTACATTATAAGTACTAATATTTATAGTTTTCCTTTAATTAGAATAAAGCAACACGGCCAAAAGCTGTATACTTGTGGACAGAAGCTGATGTACAAAAATGGCTGAGGCGTCATTGCAGTGACTATTACAATTTATACTGGGAAAGATTTCATGAGGTAATGCAGTGTTTTATTAATTTATTATTAACTTTTTTGTGATGCATTAATAAAAGGAAATGGTCCATCAAAACTTATATTTCTTTTTGCACAGTCGTTTTATATTAACCTCTGTATTAATATCTCGGTCAAGAAAAAAAAAGAGTGTACTCCTTTTGAAAAGGCCGGCAACGCATCTGCAATCCCCCTGGTGTTGCAGTTGTTCATGGGCTCCGGATGTGTTGCATGGTATTCCCATAGTTTTGGTATTCCCATATGATTGTGGGAGAGTGGACTTGTGTTTGCATCCATGCACTATAATCCTGTCCCATGCAGATGGCTAGTCTCCGTTGAGACTGACTAAGTTGAATCTGTAAGCCTCATTATACTATATATATATATATTTTTTTCTTTTCTGTTTCAGCATGATATAACTGGAAGGGCATTGGTGCGTATAAATGATAATACACTCCTACGAATGGGAATCACAAATAAAGACCATAGGGAAGCTATATGGCGAGAGATACTTAAACTGCGGCTCAAGACGGATATTGTTGAAATAAGAGATTTGGAAAGGGCAGATTTTAGTTATGATTTGTGACACAGGGAGTCTATTTGTTGGGAGAATGTTGGAACTCGTCAGTCTGTTTTTGTAAAACACACACTCAAGTTATTAAATGTTATTATTGCATTAAAGATTATGTCACATCAAACTGTGGGGTCCAAAAAACATGGCCATGCGACATATCATTACTGAAGCATATTTCTTATGTACGCATATGTGTATAGGTATAATATTCTATAATTTTTTTAGTTTTTTTTTTGGTATAGGGGTGACAAATGGGAATAGCGTTTACCTGATGGTAAGTGGATCCTGTGGTCCATAAGCACCTACATTTATTCTCCACTAGCGAACTGCACTGGCTTTGCACGGTTGATTTCTGGATCTCGACAACAATGTCAGCTACTGGATATAATTGTGAATATAATCTAAACCATTCTCTAATCAACTTAATCACACACACAAAATTTCACTAAAATCGGTCAGTAATTTAGGAAGAGTTCAGTCACATCACACTGATAGAAGAATTATACAATGTAAATTATGCATGTATTACACATGTGTATAAACCTACCTCTTGAATCATTCTGTCTATTGATGAAGACCGGATCTATTGATGAAAACTGCGTCAAAATCCATGGCATAGTTTAAAAGATCTAAGTGTACAAAAGCTTGAAGCACTGTAATGATTTAGGTGTATTAGTTCAAGATGGAGAAAGCAAAGACATAGAATCTTATGAGCTTTACGACGAATTACAACTTTAGTGCCTAATCTACCAAACTCCATTAGAGACGATTTGCCACACACACTCCTAACTTGAGAGAGTTAGTGAGCAGAATGCTGTGAGAGAATGTTGGAACATGCCAGTCGGTTTTTATAAAACCCACACTAAAGTTATTAAATGTTATTATTGTATTAAAGATTATGTCACATCTGACTGTCGGGTCCAAAAACATGTTCATGTGGTATGTTAATTGAACATGGGTTCCAAATCACTTTGAAATGTACATAGTGTTCTGTTTAACTTTTTTTGATGGTCTGAACCCTCAAGTCCAAGATATCGATAATGTATCAATTTATTTTGCTAATCCAATGATTTGCCACAGACAGAGATGTAGGGGAGGTAGTGAGCAGAATGCTAGACACAGCATTACAGAAGTTTGTGTTGATGATAAAAAGAAAGAAAGAAAGAAAAATTATTTATTACATCAAACACACCAACACACATGTTACAAAAGATATTATGCACTAAAAAACTTATAACTACAGAAGAATTAAGAAGAAGAACACAGAAGAATTCTTAAATAGACATGGCATCATGCAAGAATTAATAATTTACATCAACATTACATATGAACGTTGATTGTAAGAAAGGGAGTGAGTAAGAATGTGATAATGCTTATATATTATTCTATTTTAGTATTACAAGCTTTGTGACAGGGACAATATTAACCGTAAGTTACTATTAAATAAATAATAAAAAGTATTTAGTAAATAGTTATTATATAATAGGTATTACATATTTAGTACTTGTTAAAATGCTCAATATAGCTTATTAATAAATTGTTTTGTACACATTTATGTGGATTTGTATTTTTATTCCTTGTAAATAATAGAAAATAATTTTAGAGTAGTTTGTGTAAAATAATGAACACATCATCTGTTAACAATGTTTAAAAGAGAACAAGTGGTTAAATATACTAGGCCACTAGATGGAGTGATGACGTGGTAAGGCATGTAGAAAACCAATGTGTGCAAGGGAGGTGGCCAGGACCGTGTCTTCTAAAAATCTATAGGGGATTCTTATTGTTCCACAATAGACTTGATTTTTTTTTATAGAATGGGAGTGAAAACCATTCACACAGTTACCCTGTTCTATCCTCGAGAATATATGCAGATGCGTTTGTTTGTCACCCATATTCTATAAAAAAAATTTAATCAGAATGCAGAATGTGATGTTACCCCTGAGGACTAAGATAAAATGCCTGGTTCCTGGAGCTGACCCATTTGTACTGCAACCGTAGTATAGCTGCTTTCCTTACCTTCCGCGGCCGAATCTTGGTTGGTGGCGAAGCCATAGAGCTGATCCTTCGCTGGGGTCGGGAAGGCTGATGCTTATGAGTGCTCGACTTTCCTGACCCCATGGCCTCCGCGTACCGGGCGCGGGCACGGGGGGAGTTTGATTTAGAGGGCTTGGAGGAAAGCGTCAAGGCACGCTACTCCGGTGCGCCCTACCTGAGAAGGAGAAGGGAGAGGACTGCCGGTTGGGGCGCGGATGTGTGCGAAACATTCCCGTGACCGCAAAGTCAGGGATTTGCATTAAAAAAAAAAACCAAAGTTACTGACTGCGTTGCTGGCAAGATACAGCTGAACACCATGGAGTTTTACCCAATGGTGTTCAGTCGGTACTAGTCAGACATAACCCGTCATTGCCTCTGCGAGAGTATATGCGTAGGCAATTTAACATGTAAAAAAGGTATATTTTATTAGTCTGCAGTCGTCAGCAGTCATCATTATTGTCCATCACAAGTGCAATGTTGAACATAGACCTTTGCCCAAAGAATGCTACTAAGCACGTACCATCGCTTTTTGCGTAGGATGCACGGTTCCGGAGATGTGCAGATCAATTAGCTAATATCTAATTGATATCCGGTAAGGGCATCCACCGTCATTAGCATCCCATTGTTCCTATTTCTATTGTTCATTAATCACCTTCATTGCAGCGTGTGCGTCGACTATATCAGTGCTATTGTATTATACTTCTTTGTTCCTAATTATACAACGCTAATCCGAATCATCAATAAAACACATTACATAATTTTGTTACAATTTTTATTTATAAAATACAAAATCTTATTACTTATTATCTATAAAATAGGAGCGAAACATCTCATCCACTAAAATATCGTTGTACAATGTGTTCCTTGTAAATATGCTCGTAAAACTATGTATTGAACATCCCTGAAACTTATATAGCAAATACATTAAGCAATATTCGCCACAAACTGAAGTCCACTCATTCTGAATCCTATCAACATTCCAGTTCCATCTTTTACAATTCCTTTTTAAAAACTCTAGATGATATCGTACAGGTGATCGTCCATATGAATCAAAATATTGACCGACGTCATTCGTATCGATATATAAAGCTACCCAATGTGACCCTGGTTTATCATCTGTATCCAAATTGCATATTATATACGTTGGTACGTGGGTATACATAGGCAGTCTATTAGCTGCATAAACATTATTTTCTAGACTGGGGTGAATCTTTTTCAGATGTTGTTGTACATCTAGTGTATCCATGATATTACTGCTATTAGTAGATTATTACAGTACCAATCTATTCAATGAATAACATAGGAATGGTCAATTATAGTGATTTCTAAATATTAAATTGCATTTTTGTGTTATACAAATCGTACTTGAGTCATTGATCACCAAACACAATACGAAGAAATGTTGAGATAGGCAACGGAAATGTGAGATAAACTGGTTGATGCATAAAGTAATTATCAACTCATTACGGAAATACTTTAGATTAGAATTTTTGCGTACTGGTGGTATATAAGACCAACAGACGCAGTCATCGAGTTAGTGTATGGTCGTTTGACTGCAGTGGATCTATCAATAGTACATTTGTGTTACTTCAATGCACCAAAGGCTATGGATGTAAGTGTTTATTCTATTGACTAAATTACTTTTTTTCTGTTATTTTCATGCGTGTGTATTATTTTATTTAAATATTGTGTATGTATATGATTAAGCCGTGGTAACTCAGATAGTTAGCGCTAGCTGTAAATTTCACAGTACGCGACCCGGGTTCGATCCCCGCCAGCACCAATTAAATTGTTAATCGCAATTTTAAGTGCTTATTACCACGTGCTTGGTGGTGAAGGAAAACATCGTGAGGAAACCTGCATGTCTGAGAAAATTTCGAAGGCATGTGAAGTTCGCCAACACACATTGAGGCAGCGCGGCGGACATTTCCTTGCCCTAAAACCCTCTCAGAAATGAGAGGAGGCCTATGTTCAGCAGTGGACTTTAATAGGCTGTAACTTTAACTTTTTTAACTTTTATGATTAAGTGTTAACAAATTGATATTAACATGATAACTGTGTTGTTGCAGAAATCATTGAGCTTCGATGAAAATACCTATAAACAGTATTACTACTCGCCACTCTCCCCTCAAGAAGAGAGTGATGACCTCGTCATTAATAATAACACATGCGATGGTGGAAAAAGAAAATCGCAATCGATTGATCATTTTTTTGAAGCTGAATCAAAAATAAAAAAGAGGAAGCTGTTATCATCAACCGTAGCACGAACCGCTAGAGATGGTGTATCATACATTTCTACTAATTCTGACGACGGAGACCAAGCGACGCATCTCATCAAAATTGAAATGTACGATATGAAGAAGCTATCCAAGATTCCAACTACTGATCATTGGAAACATGCTTCCACGAGAATTAAATATTACGTAAAGACTAATAAGGATAGCATCTACGACAACACAAACGCCCTCGTATACAATATAACAAAGACAATAGCAGAAAGTGAAAAAGTTAAAAAATACTTTTTTAACAATGACAGTCATTAGCTGATCATTAGTGAATGTGATTCTGTTTACTTCAATTACTTCTGTGTACTCATTACATTCTATGTCATTAGCTGATCATTAGTGAATGTGATTCTGTTTACTTTAATTACTTCTGTGTACTCATTACATTCTATTTATAATCCTTTGCTAGACTATAAATATCGAACATTATTTGAAATTTTGGTATCAGTTGGTCTACGAACACTGAACTGTTACTTACTCTGCTATCTATTTTCTTCTTTACTATAAGGATGGAAAACTTCAGTGAAGTGTGCACCAGTGCTTTTTTCTCCACAATCATGGAAGAGAATACGGAACTATTCAATAGCGAATTAAATCAGGAGTTGTCTAAAGTTTGTGAAGAAATGGAGAGGGGTCAACTGTTCGATTCGTTATACGATGATGAGTTGTATCATCACTGTGCGATGGTTGAAA